AAATAACATACCTCTATCAACGTAGCAGCAAGCATGCATACTTTTTTTAACAATATCGTAGAAATTATTTTACGAATGTAAACATGGATTGATCTGAATTAATTGGGGGGTAGTGGGTTGAACTAGCCCCCCAATTAATCCAGATCACCGTCTGGATTGATCTATTCTCAGATGAATGTAATATGACAAGGAAAAAGAAAACAAATCCCGAAGCTTTTTAAAATTCTAAACCTGGCGAGATAATGCCTCGTAAAGATAACTATCATTCATGCGACATCGATTCGTAATCACTGACCTACAATTACAAAATGATCAAAGGAGCGAAAATTCACAAAAGATATGTTGACAAAAGTTTACACCGATGTAAAAAATACATTTGTCATTTCAAGACTGAGAGGCGCATAACAAAAAAGTTCCCCTTTCAATTTCTACTACGCACAATATATCTAGTTGTGAACAAGGATCTGTCTGATGTTACTTTTATATTTATTAAATGATACGGTAAAATCAGTACGTCCTTCAAAAATGTTTAGTAATGTAGGAACCTGATAATTTGGTTTTTGTTTTCCATAATTTGTCCTAGCCTTAGGCATCTTGTGTTTGGCGTTTCTAAGAAGATAAGGTTGCGATGGCACTTCATCCATTTGATAAAGCTTTTTTTTGTATAAGTTTTTCTGCATAAGTTTAAAGTAATACATCTGATTTGCTTGAAGCATGTTATGTTTTGTAAAATATAGATTGCTATAAAAACTGCGAACATTTCTTTGAGTTTTCTAAAATGCGCAAAACCTTTCTTTCGAGAATAATTAAATTTGTGTAAGTGGCTGTCCCCCATGCCATAATCCCATAACAAAGTTTTGAGTAAAACAAAGAGTAATATAATTTTTTGATATGCCACTTTGGTAATAAATTTGCTATTTTATTTATATAGCCTACTGTTCTCGATACGTACCCTTTTAATTTGTTGACGTGAGTGGTTCAAGTAAGTGTCTCATTAAACCAGATGCCAAGAAACTTTTGTTCTATAACCTGAGATATGGAGGTGCTATTAGATTGCAGATGTTTTACACTATTGTCCTGCTTATTGATAGGTCCAAATATAATGTACTTTTTTATGTACCATTAGTTTAAAGGACAATCATTCGGCTGTTGTTTTGAGGGTGCTTTTGTATTGCTGCAGAACAAAAAAACGGTATCGCAAGCGTACATCATCATATGTGGGGAATTAGGAATGTCTGTTATATCGTTTATATATATAAGAAAAAGTTGTGAGTCCAGTATAGAGCCCTGGGAACTTCATGTTTTATTTCTAATTGCTGAGAAGCGGCGTTATTGACATGTACAAATGTCAATGTTGAAATTCACTATCTTTAGGCGTATCCGAGGAAAAACAACCACTGAAGTGACTGCAAACAAAATTAGCGATATTTTCTGGGTTAGACAGAAAATCTTAATCACTTCTTAGGCAGATACCGTGTAACTTGTAGTATGTTGTCTAGCATATTGCCAAAACTTATCTGGTGAGTGGAAAATACTATTTTCTACTACGTTTAGGTGCGCACACTCGTCATGAATAAATACCTTTTTAACAAGAGACAACAAGTATAAGTCACCATATTACCGGAATGCACGAGAGAAGTATACGACAGCGGGAAATCAATTAGGGCTAGCCTTTTATTATGGTGCCTCTGCGATCTGCCCGGGCGCAAGCTTACCCGGCTTGGTTTCTTGGTGGAGCACGCTCCCGTTACATCTTCCTTTTTTTTTTTGTTTAACACACACGAGCGAAGTCGAAGTACATAACACCACGCATTAACAGATAGGAAGGTTAAAGAATCTAATAAACAGCACACATTAGGAGAGTTGATTAAAATTGGCATCGTAGAGAAGCCGCTGAGGAAAACGTCGCATCCGTATCGAGGCTCGCGTTGGTGCCGGGACGCCAATGACCTGTGGAGCGACTGGGGCTACACAAGTAGCTCTGTGCGGGCTTTATTAGCAAGATGTGCCCGGAAGGTTCCTAGACGGCTGCGGCGAGGTCACCATGGGTGCGTCGTTGCCGTCGGGTCAGGGACGAAGACTTCGGGCGCTGCGATGAGGTGTTGCCGGTTGCGACGCAGCTCTCTTTCTTACGACCCTGTAGGACCTCAATGCCACTTTTTTTTTTCTTTTTTTTTTACGTTTGTCTTGGTTGGCCACTTCTTTCTGTCACGTATACGGACAACGTCCCCTGACTGGATTGGTGGTAGGTGCCTCGATAATCGGAGCTGCTGACGCTTCTTCACGTGTTGTGCGGGCTCCACAGTGGAGTCAGGGACCAGCGACCTAATGCGTCATCCCACTAACGGCTCGCTGGGCGATCTTCCATCCTCCAAGGGTGATGATCTATAATTGAGAAGACCTGGGTAGAAATCTCCGGTTCGGTGACAGGAGTTTCTTAAAATTATCCTGATTATCTCAACGCCCTTCTCAGCGACATCGTTTGATTGCAGAAAAGACGAACTGGATGTGACAAGCCGAAAATAGTACCACCCGACAAAATCCCGGAATTTTTTGAGGACAACTGGGGGCCATTGCCGCTGCATACCTCTAGCGGAATCCCATGTCTCGCGAAAATTCCCGCGAGCTTGTGGACTACCGCAGCTGTGGTGGTGTTGTCTAGGAACTCAACTTCGGGATAATTGGAGTACGCGTCAAACGCAATGAGGTACGTTTTTCCAGCATACTCGCACAAATCGGCACCAACTCGGGACCATGGCTGAGACGGTGTCTGCCTCATTAATACGGGCTCTGCTTGCTTCGGTTTTTCGTGGAGGTGGGCCGGCAGTTGACGCGCTTTGAAGTGGGGTTTTTGTCAGTAGCTAGGCTTAGAAGGGTTTGCTGAACCTCTCCGAAACGGTGGGTTTCGAACCGACCACCTCCCGTAGCCGTGGCAGACGCTCCGTGCCACTAGGCCACGACAACGGTGCTCACTTCTGACACCATGTATCGGCGCGAGAGAAGATTCGCACAGCGGGAGGTCAACTAGGGCTAGCCTTTTATTATGACGCCTCCGCGAGCTGCCCAGGCACAAGCTTGCCCGGCACGAGCTTGGTTCCTTGGTGGAGCACGCTCCCGTTATAGCCATGAAGCCCGGATTGTTCTCTTTCATTTGGCTCCTGTTGTAGAAGTTCTGAGTATTAACTGTTCAGCTTGAAGCGTAAGACCTTATATGAAGACCTAAGGTTAAATAACCAGAAGTGAAATACCGCCCGGGAATTTTCATGCTCCTCATGAACGACTATCCGCAGGTCGATCGATTGCACAGTAATCCCTCAAGCGGTTTTAAACGCTTTAACGCAAAGCAGAATTTCAAGCTGCGACTGATACGCGAACATACGGTCACATCGGTCACATGGGCGATAATTCCAGTCTTCTGTTCACAACGCACAACACTGCCATCACAATGTTTCTGCTATGTTGCTGACACGCGGAAATAGAAAACCAGGTTAATGGTCATTTGGCACTCAGCATCAGGAAATAGAGCCGAACACGGCATAGAAGATTCCCCCCTTCATAACTTTTCTTCCTTTCTTTTTACTCTTCTGGTTTCTCGTTCATATGTTTCTTCTTCCGCTCTTATTAGGCAGTTTTAGAATAGTGTACAAAAAAGCTTTGCGTACGTAAATACTGTCGTCGCCACTGTAGTATGCGGCGAACACTTACCACGTTATTCGCTTTGCGTGCGCTAGTTTTCGAAATTAACGTGCGTACGAAAAAAGTGTTTGCGTTTCACCAAGGAGGATTCGTTAAGCGCAGGAAGCTGAGTAGAGACAAGACAAGCACAGTTAAAAAATGGCGGCTGCCAGGATCGCGGCGGCGACCGCTTTTGCGGTCGTCTTGAGCGCGACGTCGGCAGCCCCCTTGCAACTGGGATTTTCAATACCGGACGAAATTGCACCCCTACGGGAGGGCACGTCACAAACGCTTTAGAGGGCCCAGCAAGGTGGGTAACGATCGCCAGCACTTTGCTGCTTGCGACGCGCGTATGTTTTTCGATGAAAGCAGCGAAGGTACGATGTGCAAAGGTCGGTGCCTCTTTCCAAGGCGGCGCAAGCGGTCGGGCACCACCGGTCGACCGTTCAGGCTTTATTTTCAAATGTTAAGATCTAAAATGTTAATTAGAATAATATATATATATATATACACATATATTAATTTGTTTTCACAAATTACACCATATTGTGTGTGAAATAAAAATTGTTACACTATATCCTGGTAGCGTTGCAGGCGCAAGATTATTGTGTTTTGGCGTCGCGGCGGCGAAACGCCATCTTAAAACCGTCTTGTGCAGCGTGCGCTAACGCAAGCGCTAAGTTTTTCGCTAGCGTGCGCTACAATTGTGTAGGTTATCCTAAAACTCCATTCAAGAAAAACGTTTTCACCTCGACGGAACAATGCATTTTAGCTTAAGCCGTAAGGCTGAATCCATCCTTCTATTTGTTTATAACTTAACCTCGTTTTCTGTTCTCTCCTCTTCCGCTTTATATGTTTGTTACATTGTAATTAAAATTTAATTTCTTGTATTAAATTTTGAGTTTGGAAAGTTAGACCTCCTCCAATGGATGTTTGTCTCAGTCAAAGTTATTGATATTTTTAAGATTTAATTTCTGAAAGGGTTCTCGTTTTCTGCCATTATTATAAGTATTATAAGGTTGTATTATCTGGAAAGACGAGAAATAAATACACTAAAAAGTGTCTGTACAATGTTTTTTTTTTATTTTGTGCATGAAAATGGATACCTGACGCAGATCAGAGTGCGTTCAATTAACCCTTTAAGCTTCGAAGAATTTGGATTTCTTGATATATGTTATCTTAGTGAACGTATCCTTTTATTCAATTTAGTTTACAGCATCTTCATAACACCTTCATCAACCGAAGCTTCTAAATTTAGTTTAACTTAAACAAAAAATTAGTGAGTGGTGGTTAGTTTTGTGGTATTGTTTGGTTCGATCACGACTTTAGGCTTTCTTCTTTTTCTCTTCCTCCTTTCGTTTTTTATAAGCGATTATTAAATCCTTGATTTGTTCCTTGTTTTGTTTAAAATACATTGTTGGGTACCTGAAATAGACAAGAAACAAATGTAGTCTTACTTGGTGGAGAAATTATCACTGCCGCCCTCCCCTTTTAGTTTTGCTTTCAAGTATTCTTGTAACTTTGCACTACATATTAGGAATGCACTATCCAGGTTTATTCATTATGAAGGTAACCATGAAAAGAGTTTCAGGCAGCCAAATGTTTAAACGAAGACATCTTTTTAATTCAGAACGAATATATCATTTCGATTAAAGTTTAAACAACATTACGCTACAGAGTGCACCTTCGAATAAATACCACATAAAATTGGCATGGTGTAGCTTAAAAAGTTATGAACCGATAATAAAACTTTACGTTTATAATTTTTATAATGCGGTGGAAAGCCCATGTAAAGGTATTTTTTTTTTTACCAAATAATGCCCGATGACGCAAACTTATAGTTTTTGTACACCATATATTTTAATGCTCTGGTCACACTATGAACTCGGTAACCTATAGCGTAACTTCGAAAGAAGAGTGCGCTATAACATAAGCGTTGCAACTGCAGTCGTTTTGATGTTTAAATTAGTTTCGTCAGGACTCGATAGTTTCATGGCCCAAAATTGAAAGCGATAAAGACGATATATAAGTTACTTGACTGGCCACCGGCGCGTAACCTCTAGGAAGTAACCTATAAAATGCGCAGTAAACGATATTGTCCTCACGGTAACCCAGACTCAAATGTTTACGCTTTTTTCCCTGAAAAAAAAAAAGAAAGATGAAAAAGGGGGTGAAGGCGTATCAGAGGGAGAGGGAATTCAAAGAATTCCGAAACTATGTCTTGTCACCACAACACGTGCTCTCGACTTCCTCGGCGCCACGCCATCGGCAAATCGGCGCTTCCACAGGTGTGCACACCGTTGGCTTGCTCGCGCGGTCATGGTGGTGACGGCACTTGAGGCACTCTGTCCTTTTGTGCGGCCTTCCTTCATACTACGCGCTCGTGAGGGTCACCAGGGACACTCCAACAAAAAAGGACGACTGGAGAATCTGAATGTATGGTTTACCTCGGGGAAGCTGCTTAGCTAACAACTTGTGCCCCGCTGATGAAATGTGGCTGTCGTCAACACGGACAATCGGCGCACGGAATGTAGGGTACCTTGTGTGAGTAGATGTTTCATCCCCTCCTCAAACGCGATTGGCTAAAGCTAGTTTCTAAGCTTCGCTGGTGGAACTTCAGTCTGCTGCGGGACCATAATGGTATATGCCACGACTTCAGCTTTATGTTTATATCTGGGGCGAAGACCAGTTCTGTTGTGTCTGGCATTTTTCGTTTCTATGCGTGCGCACATGATATATAGACTCATATCTTCGTCGCCGTCAAGTGTTGTGTTTGCCTTATGTAACAAATATGTTTTGCCTGGGCTGGCGGGAATTGTATTGACATCTTAAAATCAATTGAACTATTTTTCTTAAGTTTTGTGATTTTCTACTGCACAATTTCAGGTCTTTCAGTCGGCTGTGCAGTTTTGTTTTACTATAACGGTGTTTGGAGTGTTTGACGGGATTTGATAGCACCAGGACGTCAGAATATTTCGGGCCCAGTACACTTCCAGTAATACATTTATTTGTTCTTCCGCAACAGGCATCGATAAAAAAAAAACGATGTTTGTTCGGATAACTATCTACAACATGTAGCAAAAAAAAACATAGCGAATAAAAAAGTAAGATAAGTTCAGAAGGGGTCAAGTGTTCACCGACAGTGGGCGGTGGACCTTGTTTAGAAACATACACCGCTGAATTCATGACAAAGTAGGGGTATGAGTGGGAAGTGTACTCCAGTTCGCTTGTGATTTGCATTCGTAAATGTTTTGACGTGTACGGCGAATGTTTGTGTAGGCTGGATTGATTAATATGTCATGGCTTAAATAGTACAAATTTGATGCGCGATAACAGTTTAATTCGAGCTGTTGTTGGAAAAGAAAAGCCCTCATTTGAAGGAATTGTTTGCTTCAATAGTAATTCTTTGGTAGTTTATACATGTTAATCAAGAATAATCCATTTCACTTAAAAAAAAAAGACAAAAGTAGCTCTAGAAATGTTTTTGTTTTGCATGGAAACACGCGCGGCACCATTCAAAAGGTTATAATCCTCTTTAGGGGTGCTACTCTCTGAATGTTCGACATGTCCTTTAAATATAAAAGTCCCAAGCGCTTAGTAAATACATTTCTTTATGTTCATTTTTCAGGCTATAGGAGACCGAAAAGAGTGCGGTTCAGAATCGAAGATCGGGAGAACTCGCACCCGAAGTGCTTTCTGTACCCGTGATGAAAGCATCGTGATGTGTCACGCAGTCTATTACGCCAAGCACTTCCACCCCCCTCTGCATGCGAGCTATTGGGGAGGAGGACAGACCGTTACGCCCCAAGCGGTTAACTTATCAACTACACGGATGGGGACAACAAACACAATGACGCAGCACTCGGCCGACATAACCGAACGCGGCGTCAGCGTTCGACTGGAGTTCGTGTTCTCCGGCGAGGGGGAGGAGGGGCTCTTTTGTTTCCACGACGGCCTGCATGAACAATGCAGCATGCACGATCCCAGCTTAGCACAAAAGCCGAAGTGGGTCAAGCTCGCATTCTCAGAAGATAGATCCGGCACTTAACGTCGCTTCGTCGATTGTTAGTATTTTTTACATTAAACTGTGCCCCGCGCTCTATTGTAGAAGATGACATGGCCATGCCCATAAGGCCTGTTGGCATGTGTACAGGCCTTGTGTTGAGTAAACACCGAGCGTGGGGAAAACAAACGGGTCAGAGCGCCCCCTATAGTTCGATCTCCTGCCCAATACCTCAAGGGCTATTTGTTTGCTCTTAGTACAGTGACTCCGAAAGATTGGTGAATAAAAAAAAACTTAAGAACCATCAGTGTGATGTGTTATAGACACCCCTTTCAAGGCCCATGCACACGCTTGCGTTTGGCTACGACCGCGTGAGATAAAACCGGATTTTAGGCCTCTTGGGGGGGGGGGGGGGGGGGTGCCTGGAGGCTTAAAAACCGGTCTTGTCTCACTCGGTCAGAGTCAAAGGCAAATGTGTGAACTGCCCCTTGAGGTAACCTATATATTTCGGATAGTCAATATAGTATATGCTCACACCATTGTGCACCGTTTTTCTTCTTTTTTTATTTGTTGTTTTATTTCAGGACATTGGTTTTTGTGGCCGTCGCGTGTTTGTGCTAACTTTGGATAAGTATTAAAGTATAACTTTTTGTATCCACCGAGTTGTAAGTGTTTTGGTGTTTTGTATCCTGTCGAATTAAATGACCACGTTGACTGCGATATATTTGTCGTTCCATTTAAAAATAAAGTGCGTGGGATGCGAGACGCTAGCCTCAGAGAGCTTGTCCAAGGCTTGTGTGTCACGTCTCAGGTACATTATTTTTGTAAGGAAGAAGTCTGTGATGAGGCGGCCGAGCTCACCATTAAAGAAAGGTTACAACTAATGGCGAAAAGTAGAAACAAACCATCTTACCCTCTAAAATATCTCAAGCATGTACACCTGTACTTCTAATTACAAAGATTCAGTCTACAATGAACCTTAAAAAATAGAGTCATACTAAAATTCGAAAATGTGCACCTATACCATAGATTACCGAGCTTAGACTGTACTATTATTAGGACTTGTTGTTTACTTACAAAATTGAGCTAGTTAAATCATTAGCAGTAAAAACAATGCAGGCAAGAGTTCCTATCCTAACTATTCCAGATTTTCAGTACCTGCGGGGACTTTTAATTGCTAAATGAATTCCCTAATGTGCTTCATTTCTAATTCACCATTTCAATATTTAACTTTGTGCTTTTATACCAACTCATGAGAACGAGTTAACGCCAAGAGGAGATAAGGGTCAGAGTAAAAAAAGATAACAATCCAGTCACCTCATATTCACAAAATGGGGTTTGCAGTGTTACGGTGAAAATTCACAAATAGCGTTCGCAGCATCTCAGGCGTTTCAGGTGGAGACGGGTTCGGCAGCAAGTTATCGCTAGCCCATCTTACATCCTCGCATTACCCAAGGATCAAGAGGTAGAAAGGCGCACCGCACTCCCCTCCTATGGTCTGCGGTTTTTTTTTTTGTTTTTTTTTCTAAGTTTCGGTATGGCACTTTAGACATCCTAATATCGTGATTGAGAAACCCACAGGAAAAAAAAAAGTTTGGTATTCTAAAATATAGAAACTGGTGCCATGATTATAGAATTTCATCTTCTAATTATAGCATTTTATTGATTCTGAACTAACTTTCAATCTTCTGCTTGCGAAACACTAGGAATGAATCATCTATTAACTTAAGAAATTGACTCATTATAGAAATAATATTCGAAATGTGTACTTCGCGGATCCTCTTTTTATGAGTACGCTCATAATTCTGTGACCCTATGCAAGATGAAATACCGTTCAATCTTTGTAAAAATAGATACAATATTTATGAGGCGAATGTTAGCATGAATAATCAAGTTTAAGTCAATTACAAATAATGCATCTCAATAATATCCTAATTGAATAAATGCCGTTCGCTCGTAGGTGTACGGAATATTCAGTTATAGATGCTTAATGACTGCGTTGCCTTCTTTGCCGTTATTTATTAAACACATTTAATGTGGTCTTTTTGTTTTCTGATTCGGTTCAAATTTGGTGCACTTTTAAGCAGTGGGTGACATTCTGGAGATAGTCTCAGTTGTTACTTAGTAATGACGCATAAAGAGTACTATTTAACGTTTAAATAATGGTTGGAAGAAACGTGTTGCTCTCGCAGATATAAATTCAGTTATAATTAGATTGAAAATCCACATCCACAAGTTGAAAAACGGCTCTGCTGTATTCGCTTACGATGTTCCCCTTCTTATTCAATTGATTATAAAAGTTTATGCAAGAGCGACGCACGCGTTGCCTATAATAACGAGTAGAATAAGGCACTCGTGTGTGCACTTCGGCATGATATTTTACATGCATTGTGATACAGTCGGCTGGAATTACATTCGTCCA